AACAAAACATATTCCTATAAACACATGAAATTAAATAAACATATAAGACCATTGTACAAAGAGTTCTACCATAGTTCCTGTGTTGTCTCTTGTTATCTCCAATAGAATTGGCTATTCATCAGACATAGTACAATTGAATATATCAGTACATAACAGTATTAATAAAAACACAACTTTGTAAACCAGCAGTTATCCCAACCAGAATGTGTATCATAGAGTCTTATCATCTTCAGTGTAGTTGCCTATAGTCTCAGACTTGATACTATCAATCATATCAGTTTTGAATAAAATCTTCTCTCTTCATTCTTTTATGCTCTTTTTTTGCCATCAGTTGTCTGCCTATCTTCTTCATTCTGTTTTCTGCTCCATTCATTGAAGCCTCTCTGCCACTGTTCCTAGAATCCTAGCACTTTTCTCTCTCTCTAGAATGCCCTGCAGTATTCTCTGTAGAGTTGGATTGGTCGAATTTCCCAGTTCCTCTTTGTCTTGGAAGCATCTTGCTTCTCCATTAATTTCTAGAGACAGTTTATCAGGGTATATCAATCTGGGATGGAGGTTATTTTCTTTCAGGGCTTGGAATATTTCACTCCAAGCTCTTCTTGACTTGATGGTTTGTGTGAAGATGTCTGCCATTATTCTGATGGGCCTTCCTTTATAGGTTATCTGTTTCTTGTGTCTAATAGCTTTTAATATTCTGTTCTTACATTGAATTTCTGGGATCTTGATTATTATATGCCTGGGTGTAGCTCTGTTTTGGTTGTAGGTGGCTGTATGCCTCATACATCAGAATATCATTTCCTTTTCCTATGTTTGGGAAGTTTTCCTTAATTATTTCTGTGAATAACCTTTGTTTGTACCCCTGCTTCTTCATTCACATTCTTTATTCTCAAGTTATAGATCCTCTTGTCATCTTCTAGCCTTTGTATTGTTACTGCTTGTTTCCTTGTTATTTGTAAAAAGTTTTTCCTTTCATAATCTCACATTGCAAAACTGTCCTCCAGTTTGAATAATCTATCCTTAGTTTCTTTCAAGCTGATTTGCCCTGCCATCTTTTCATAGAGTTTTTAATTTCCTGATAATCTCTTTGAATCTACTTCATGTATTCTATATTTTTTATATTCTTCATCAAATGGTTCTCTCCTTTGAGTTCCTCCCTTCTTCCATCTGTGTCTGCTTGAGGGGGTGCTTAGTATCTCTTTTATTAATCTTCTTATATCTTGCTTTACTTGGCTAAATATTTCACTTTTGAACTTGTCTATGAGGTCCTGAATACATCTCTTTATGTCCACTGGTGCCATGTCTGATATTGCATGTTTGCTGTTCTCATTCTCCTTTGTATTTACCTGTCCTTGGTCAGTGTTCTCAGGGTTGGGACCTGGGGACTTTTTGTTATTGCTTCCTCTTCCCATCTTTTTTGCTTCTTCCAGGAGGCCCCAGTTTCTTTCTTTGTTGGTTACAATTCTTTTGAAGTGTGCTGGCTAGATGTCCTTCCCACTGCCTTGTGCTAGTGAGTTGTAGACGGGATGGCGTATACTGGCCCCTCCCCTCCGCCAAGCTGCTGTGGCCTGCACTGTATTACTATGTACTGCCTCTCCTCTGGGTCAGTCAAGCTGCTGTGGCCTGCACTATATTACTTTGTGCCACCTCCCCTCTGGGTCAGTCAAACTTCTGAGGCTTCACTGGGTTAGTGTGTTTGGTGTGTGCCACTGCTGTAGGGACTTGATTTCGGATAACCTATTGGGTCTCAGCCAGGTCACATGACCCAGGCTTAGCTCACTCCATCAATCCCATTCGGGAAGGGAACAACTGACTGAAGTCACTGCTGCCCCATGTACTTGCCAGTCCTGCCCAGTCCCAGAATGTCATCTGCCAGAGCCCCACTTTCTGTGGAATGGATCCACTCCTGTCACTCACCACAGGTCGATGCAGGCACCCAGCCAACTCAGCTCTCCATGCGGCTTGCTGACCCCTGAACTCAATGTAACTGCTCCTCCAGTGAGTTGAAGCAGTGGGACCTTGCAGCAGGACCTCAGCAAGTCATGGCGGGACCTCGGCTAGTTGGCAAGATGTCCACTGTGGCAGGAACACTGAACCTTTACTGTTCCAATAATAGCATCTGGACTGTATGTTTGGTTGGTTCTTCTCACCTTAATTTCTTCTTGGGATGAGAGAATTCATCTCCCTCTGTTTGGGGCTCCCCACTCTGTATTATGTTGAATTCTAAGTTGACTATCTCAGGGAGCCTCTGTAGCCAGTTGTTATCTGTCCACCATCTTTTTGTGATTAGTTCTTGGAGGTTGTGGTCCATACTCAGCTGACTCTGAGGCAGCGTGGCATGGCGGGACCTGGCCGCCAGAAGTACAGTTTTCTAAGAGCTAATTCTTCAAAAAAAATTCTGTATTAAAGTGTATCATTCAAAATCTGACAGCTTTTTAATTCATAGCCTACAAAGTCTTCTGCCAAACTTTTAAATATCATTACTTCACATGAAGCTCATTGACTGAGGGCAATGGGCCCAGCTACCCACTTATCAGGAGAGGGTTTTGGTTTAATCTCATTCACATCATTTTCTTTCCATATTCAAGTTGATCTAAATTTGGCTGTTTGTTCAGACTGGCAGCCACTGAGTCACACTAATATGTGGAACAATTTCTCACAAAATGCCCCAATTCTGTCCATATGCAAAGGGTAACAATGAGTTGTAAGCAAGGAGTCTCACCTGTCCAGAGGTTCTGTAGGACAAAGCTTTATGCAAAGGATACTGTAATGTTAGAAAGGCTGGGATTCTTATTGAGAGTCAAGTTACCACTTTGTCCCCACAGTTCCACTCATTGCCTTATTTCCAAAGCTGTGTCTATGGTTACAGAGAATGCAGGCACTCCATGTCATTTGTATTGGTCAGCTCTGGAAGTCCTGTCCCAGCCTCAAAAAAAAGCAATGGAGAGAGAAAGGACTCTAATGGCTAAAACCTCAATAATTGATCCTCAAGTCAACTGAAAAATATTCAGTGAAAATTTGCCACCTATGCTGAGAGTAAAAATATTTTGTATTTGTTTAAATTATTGTAAATGATTCAAAGATAAGATGAAATGGAATAAGATGAACCTCAAAAAGACAAGAATTGAGAAAGGAAAGAATACCAGAGAGAGGAGGGAGAGGAAGGGAGAGAAGCAAAGGGCAGCTGGGAAGGAGAGCTGGGCCCAGTGACTTCCTGTGGCCCCTTCTTTCCTCTCCTATAGCTGGGAACTTGAGCAACTGTCATCACAGTGGCAGCGCAAACTTATTCAAGATTTCAAAAAAAAAAAGCCCACTATAGTGGGAGCAGAGTTCTTCTTTGTTTTGCCCTCCCTAAACTCCAAAGCTACCCACGGTGCTTTTCCCTGGCCCCAGGCACTGTAGCCTGGCCCAGGCACCATGGCAACAGGGTCACATGACCCGCAAACAGCTCTGCCAGACTGCAGAGCCACTGCTCCTCTCTGAAGGGAACAGGGCCCTGGAGATGCACTGTGCATCCGACCTGACTTCCCCTTGTTCTAGCTGGGACTGGGAGAAGGCCTACGGGGGTTGGGGGGATCACTGGGCAAAGGCAGGACAGTGCCCTCCCTGCTTGAGATTGGAATCAAAGCTGAAGGCAGACAGGGAAACGGGGCAGCCTGAACCACATTTCCTAACAGGCTTCATCATGTTTCAGGACCATCCTATCTGCAGCTGCAGCATGTTTCTAAAGTACTTAGTTTTCCCCCCAAAAATCTTAAGAGCAATTTAAGACAGACCCATCGGTGCTTTCCCTACCAAAACTACACACACCAGGAGGCCCTGAAAGCCTCCTTGTACCTCCACAAAGATGTTCAAATCTGTTTCCTTGTGGCGCAGGATGGATACCTGGCCTGCCACACACCCTCTATAGGGTCACAGGATCATTTGTTGACTCTTTGTTCAGTTTGGGTCTGTGTGGACCAAGGCTGGAAACACTCTCAGGAAAAGGAGTTTTGTAGCCAGGTGTGATGGCACAGACCTGTACTCTGTGCCACTTGGGAATCTGAAATAGGAGGATGGATGCAAGTTGGAGCCCTAGCTTCCCAAATCCCCACCAGCACTGCTCTTGGCCTCCTAGACTCTCTGCAAGGCTTCCCTCATTACTAGAGGTCTGTCTCACTCCAAGGCCACCTCTCAGGGAATCACTGTCATACTGGTTCCTTTTTGGCCATCACGCCACTATATAACAACATACATACCCAGGATTTGTATACCTGCTTCACCGCTCTGTGAGTAACGATCATGCCTCCAGCCATCAGTGACTGCTGGACACAGAACTGTAACCAGAGGGACCCTGTAGAGGGTGTCATGGCAATGATGTAACCTCCTTGTTGCTGCTTTTCTGGGTGATCACCAGGATTTTACCTTGGGGGAGTTGTGCTATTCTTTTTTGCCCGAGGGACTGAAACGCTGCCCATATGAGGTAGGCAGTTAGTGCCACCCAGCTTATGTGAGTGACTTGAGAGAGGTCTAGAGTGGCCACTTTGGGAAACTGAGTCTGGAGCAGTAGGCTTGAGTCCAGGGGCAGTTGGAGCACACAGGCACATGGCATGGATACACATGGTTCTGCAGTGTCGAGACCAGCAGGCTGGGCCAAGCCAGGAACTCTGGAGCCCAGGACAGACAGCTCGTGACTTCCAACAGAGCGCATGGACTGGAGAAGCCACCACTCTGCAAAGGTGCTAAAGGGAAGGACTGCATGTTTTCCTGGGAGGATCAGAAGTAGAGACAAATGGGTGATTAGGATAGAAACAGAAGGTCACACAGGTCATAGAATAGGAGACCAAGAAAGCTGGAGAGGAGGGGGTTATGGGTGAAAAGGTGGTAGCTGGATCCCAAGGCATGGAGTGCCTGGTTAGAACAGATCCTGATGTCCTGCGGGGGTGTGCTGAGGGAGCAGAGAGTTGGAACCTCAGGAAGGCGGGAGCCGGTGGGGCTGTCACCAGGGTGCAGAGCATAGCACAATGGGGCAGAATTGGACTGGCCCACACGCAAAGGCCCCACTGAACAAGGAGCAGCATGGGCAAGTAGAGAAGCGTGCTACTGAGCGCAGGCTGAGTCCACCAAGGGTGAGGCTCTGCCACCGCTTATGCAACCAGTGAGGTGAAAAACAGAGGGTGCACCAGGTCTGAGGCAGCTTGGCACCTTAGTTTGGCTGAGAACACAGGGATTTGGGTGTGACAGGGAGAAGGACACTGGCCTCCAAATTCCCCTCTAGGCCATGAATCTCACAGCAATCAGTGCCTCAGCACTAGAACTCCTCTTACCACCTCACCACTTTGTGCAGCAGCTAGGCTGGCAGTGCCCCACACAGTCTGGCCCCATCCTGCCATCCTGCTGTCTCTGTCAGAAATGCCTGCTTCCCCTTCATGCCACCTGTCCTTTTGCTTGATGGGCTCACTAGCAGACCGGAAATTTAATGATGTAGCAGTGAAAGTCCACCTCATCCATTCCCGCCATTGTAACAAAGTACCCCAGACTGGGTGATCTGCAAAAATAGAGATTTACTGGTCACGGTTCTGGAGGCAGCAAAGCCCAGGGTCAGGAATCTTCAGATTCAGTGCCTGACAATGGCTGCTTCCATGGCGGTATCACGTTGCTGCATTTGTCCCCAGATTGGAGGAGATGGAAATCCAGAAGCCCTCTGAAGCTCTTTGGTAAAGATTGTAACCCCCTTCATAGGGATGGAGACACAGGACTTTGTCACTACCCAGAAGTATTGGCTTCTTAAGGCCACTACAGGGAGATTGAGTTTCCTCATGAATTACAGAGGGAATTTCAGAGGGACAGTCAGTCAAACCATAGTAAACTGAAAGCCAAAGAGCAAAGAGAACAAAGACTGGAAAATATAAAACCTACTAGATCATAGTATCCAAATGCCAGGAGATAACTACAAAAGGCATAACACATAATGACTATAGCAGAGGAAGAAGGTAGAAGAAATAATAAATGAAAATTTCCCCCAGACTGATACTAGACCCTAAAGCACAGATCCAAGAAACTCAGAATGATCAAAAGAGTAAATTCTAAAAACAACTCATAGGTACAGCATTTTCACACCACAGAAAATCAAAGATAAAGAAAAATCCTAAAAGAAGCCAGAAAAAAAAATCCTTATCCATAGAAGCACACAAATTAGAATTAACCAAGCTTCCCAGAAACCAGGCAAGCAAGATGAGGATGTACTTGAAGTGTCAAGAGCGGGGAAAAAACAACTACAATTCCACACCCTGAAAAATTACCATTTTTAAATGGAGAATAAGGACTTCCTTTTATGCACAAAAAGTGAAGGAATTTTGTATCAGCAGGCCTGCCCAGAGAGGAACATTTAAAGTTGTCTTTAAGGGAAGAGGGTGATGCAGGTCAGAAGCTTTGTCTACACAAAGAAAGAGCAAACTTTAGAGAAAAAAAACAATGAAACAATTCCTTCAAGGCACAATCAGCCAAAATTCACACAAGAACAATCAGTCTGAATATGTCCATATCTATTAAAGAAATTAAATCAATACTTAATCTCCCAAAACAGGAAGCTGTGGGCCCAGAGGGGTTAACTGATAAATTCTGCCAAATTTTAAGGAAGAAATTACACCAGTTGTCTGTTTTTCTTTCAGACAGGAAGCAAAAGGAATACTCCCTAACTCATTCTATGAGGCTAGCTATACCTTATAACTAAATCCAAAGGCATTATAAGACAATTACAGGTCAGTGTATCACAGGAACATAGATACACAACTCCTCAACAAAACTTTAGCAAGTTTCAACCAACACTGCATAAAAATAAACACTTCAATCAAGTGGGATGTGTCCTAGATATGCAAGCCTGGGTCATCATAAGTCAGTGTAATCCATCATGTCAATAGGCTAAAAAAATCACATAATCATATCAGATCATGAGAGTCATGTCAGATGTAGTGAGAGTATTTAACAAAATCTAGTACCCAGTCCAAGAAATCTCAGTGTACTAGGAATAGAGGGGAGCTTCCTCAACTTGAATAAGATTCTCTACAGAGGATCTGCAGCTAACATCATATTCAATATAAGAAACTAACATCTTCCTTCTAAGATCAGAAACACAACTAGTATGACCCTTCTCACTGGTCCACTTAAACATTCTGCTGGAAGTTCTCTATAGTAATTCAAGAAAAGGAAATAAAAGGCACATTCATTGGGAAGGAGGAAATAAAATTGTTTGCAAATCACTTGGTTGCCTATTTTTAAAATCCCAAAGAATCCACAAAAAAACTTCTGGAAGTAATAAGCCACTAAATGAGTACAAAGTTAGTAGATAAAAAACAATTGCTAATAGCTAGTTGTGCTGGTGCATGCCTATGATACCAGCTCTCAAGAAGCTGAAGCAGGATTGCCATGAGTTTGAGGTCAGCCTAGGATAGAGTGAGTTCAGGTTCAGCCTGGATGCTGAACAAAAAACAAAAAATTAAAACATATTGCTTTCATACATATCAGCAATGAACAGGTCGAAGTTGATGTTTAAAACATAATAATTGCCTCTATTAGCATCCAAAAAAATGAAATACTTAGGTATAAATTAACAAAATACATGTAAGAGATCTATAGGAGAAAATGAATAACATTCTTTTTATCCTCCCAAAGTGAAGATAAAATGGAAGGGAGACCCTGTTTACAGCAGTAATAAAGAGACTAAAATACCGAGGCAGAAACTTAGTGAGAAATGCTCAGGCCTATAGTCAGGGTGTAGGAAAACACATGCTCCGTTTCTCCTACTAAACTCACATAGCACAGAACCCTATGATCCCAGGGATGTGAAGATTTCCCACCAACAACCAACTTTGCCATGATTCTTCAGCTGATAAAGGCTGAACTTCCTGCAATTTGATTCAGCTCTGCTATTCTCTATTGGGAACCAATGTCAGATCCACAGGCTGAAAGCTGTGCCCCATACGACCTGTACTTCAAGTGCCTTGCCAGTACAGGAGCAGTTGTCATCTGTACCCCCAACTGACAGACTGTGGATCAGGGCTCCTCCTCCATAACAGGTCTCAGTGGCCCCCAGCACTTGGGAAGTGCTTACAATTTGCCCAATTACTATGAAGAATGTGACACAGGACCCAGTGAAGAGCTGTGGGAAAAGGGGCACAGAACTCCCATGCCGTCTGTAGTTCCCCATCCTCAAGATCCTTCACCCCTACAACTTTTGGAAGCCACCCTGCACAGCCCTTCTTTGGGGGTTTTTATGGAAGCTTCCTGGAATAGGAATGCCTGACAGAATCATTGACTATAAGCAATCAGTGTAACTTTCAGCCCCTCTCTCCTCTGGAAGGTTAGAGGGCACATTGAAATTCCGGCCCTCTATGTGCATAGTAACAAGGAGCCCCAGCCATGAGTCAGTTCATTAGCAGATCCAAAAATCACTTATCACTGTGAAAAGCCCAAGAATTTTAGTTGTGCAACAGGAAATGGGAAGAGGAAGACTAAATATATATTTCACAATATCATAGCTATATAAAAAGAACGGTAAAAACATTCCTGAAAACTGTCACTAGTACTGTTTTTTTTTTTTCTGGAACTAGACACATTTCTCAGAAAGCTTATCTGGAAGGTCATATAAGAATTCTCAGGAAACACTAAAAAAAAAGAGGGTAGTTGTAGAGGAAGTTAGCTTATGGTACTAGACATTAAAAATACCTCAATTCAGAAACTGAAATTGAGCATAAATAAGAACAGAACAGATATTCACATAGACTTGATCACAAGTTAAAATTGGAATATAATGACAGCAGTGTTGTCTTAAGAGCACCCCAGGCTGGGATGGAAACCTAGGCTCACAGTTCTGGGGGCTGGAAGCCAAGGCCTAAGTGCAGCTGTGTGTCTGGCAAGACTTTGCTGAGTGCATGTGTCGGTAAGGAGGCTCCTGACTCCCATTGTGAAAAAGACTTTCAGGATGCATCAGCAAGAGACACAGGCAGACTTACTAGGCAGAAACAAAGAAGTACAAGTTCAAAGGAAAAGACTGCGGGAACACAGGAGTGAGGTATAATGTAGCCAGGGGTGCAGGCCATTTGTGTGATCTTGGGGTACCCTCAAGACAGATATCCAAGATGTTTGGTCTGAATTATTTACGTGCCTCATATTTTTCAGATTACTTTTAGCATGCTAAATCAAAACTGGCTTTATCAACTAGGTTAAAATGCAAACCGTTTGCCTGTCTTTGAAGCCTAGAGGTATAGTACCCAGTTAATGGTGCTGTTCCTTTGAGAGTGGTCGTCTGTGGAGTTGGTGGATTTATAATATCAAAAGCAAAACATGGGCCAAACTTGTGAACTTATTGTATCTTTAAGACTCTAGGGAAGTTAGGCATGAGGAGCCTGGAAGGAAAACATAGCCTAGGATTCAAAAGCCATCCTTATTTGGGAAGCATTAGTTACCTGGGATAACTATGGTATGTTTTGAAGCCACAATTCTCTTAAAGTTACAATTTCATTGTCTCCCTTCTATGTACCTACATTTCTTCTATCTCACATCACTCACAGGACCTTGAGAAGAAGCAGAAGGGCAAGAAGGAGTGAACACTGTGTCCTCAAGTAGAAAAAGCAGGAGAGGGAGCCCATTCCCACAGTCCTTTATGTGAGAGGATAATCCAGTCCTGAAGCCCGATCTGCCTGGCGGTAGGATAGAGATGAAGTTTCCATTACGTGGACTCTTAGGAACACACTGAGACTATGGGGATGTCTTAGTCTTCTTGGACTACTATACCAAAATGGTATAAGCTGCATCACTGGTAAAATACAATTTTATTTCTTACAGTTCTGGAGACTGGAAGTCCAAGATCAGGGTTTGCAGATACTGTGTCTGGTGAGGGCCCACTTTCTGGTTAACAGATGGATTCTTATGGTGTCCTTGCTGGGGTCTCCCTTGGGCCTCTTTTCCTATTGAAGGGGCTGCTGCTTCATGACCTCATCCTTTCCCAAAGGGTGCCCCTCCCAAATCCATCAACCTTGGATAGGATTTCAGCACAAGTTTGGGAAAAAAAAACATTCAGCCCGTAGCAGTAGGGTTAGGGTTAGGATGGAAAGAGTCATGCTAGATAACT